GTCACGAATTGACCTTTCTTCCTTATAAGGTATTTTCTATCTCCTTTGCCTTCGTAGTGGAATGGTAGCACACTCAGCGCGTATTCGAGAAGTCCAGGTTCGAGTCTCGACGAGGGCACCGCACATTTTTTACGCCTGCGGCTTCAAAATAACCTAATGATTCTACATCCTCATTAGTTCTTCATATTCTTCTAGCTGATAGATCCAGTCATTTCTTCTGACGATATGCCTGATTGTTCCGAAATCTCGATCACTTGGGAGAAACGAGTGACCCCTGATAGCAGAATAAATTTCGATTTTATCGAACATCTTCAGTTCGACGAGTGCCACGCGCATTCTTAACCGGGTATGGTTTTTATATTGATATGCAAAGCCGTAGAAAAGAATGAACAATACCATCAGCACTTCAAAATGTCATTGCTCCTAAAACTAAACTACTGTTACGACTGAAAACATTAAATTTCTCCTGAATATAAAACATGCGCATGACGATAATTTTTTAGAAGCTTGCCTTCTTCCCGATTTCCGTAAAATTATGTAAAATGTGATCAACTCACCTAATTTGGTTGTTTTTACAAAGAAATTATCTTATGTTTTATTTTCAAACCTTTCATAATCAAAAAATTATAAGTGTACAAACTGGTTCAAAATATTATATGAATTTGTCCTTTATTAGCACAAGATCTTAAATTAAAGCACTTTATAATAGAAACAACTAGGTTATAAAAGTGACAAGAAACCCATATTTATGTTTTACCTTACACTGATTATCTTTTGGAAAACGACTTACTATTACTGTTGCATCGATACCAAAGTTTGTGGAGAACAGATCTTGATATATATCTGCTACTTATGTTGGCTACATGGACCAAACGGACCTAATGTGAAATGGTGATTTAGTGATTTTCCCGAAAGAAAAAAAATCTAGAGCTTCCTAATATGAAGTGCTTAAATTAGTAAATTTTTAATTTAAAGAAAAAAAAAAAAAATATCCTGGAGCTTCGAAATGAGAACTTTACGTATTTCAAATTTGAAGGTGGATGTTAATTTTATGAAAATCGTGAAGGAAGCAAGCTTCTTCAGTATTATCCTGTAATGCGATATTAATAACCGGCCGGTGAGATCGCCGATCAGACTAGAGAACGAGCCGATGAGGCGAGGGGACTCTGATCAGTCACGGACTACATTGTAAAAACGAACCATGTGAGTGTGCAGATGTCCGCTTTTAAAAGCTTCTGCGAATTCCGATCTATCCTTTCACCCCTTAAACATTTCACTAAAAGCCTAATTTTTACGCAGTTTCAGAAACGTGGCGTAGTGATTCATTTCCGCCATTAATACCGTTTAAAAACATGCCACAAAACCATTTTTTTACATCTACCGATTTAGTTATGTTGAATAGCAGTTGTTTTACACTGTTGTTGCACTTTAACAGTTAACAGCTATTGTCAGCAGTTGTTGCACTTTAACATTGTGCATTGCTCTGCTACTCTACTTTTTCGAAATCCCCTTGGATTTGGAAAAAGGCAAAATATCTTGTTAAGCCGCTAATTTAAATCTAAAGATTTATTATCGGTAAAGGTTTATAGCAATACATTTTAAAAGGAATTAAGTAAGAAGAAATTTGCAAACTATATTTCAATACCTATAATATCCTCTTGCAATTAGCGGCTAGATATCAGTCATTGGAAGAAGGAAAAAGAAATGACATTTCAGCTCTTGAAATGAATTTTTGCTTTCGAGAGCAGCAGGGATGTTCATATTCAGGCAGTATGAGTAAATATTTATTTGCTGCTCCCATTTCAACATCTCCTGGCTATTGAATCTTCATAAGGAACTAGCTTTATTCTCCTCCATGTTCAAGCATTTCCATTTTTATCGCCTTGAGAAGGGACGATGAATCTAGATTCAGGCTTAAATCAGCGGTCTTAATATGCATGGCAAATATTACCATGTGCTTTTTCGTGGAAGCTTATTTTTTGCCCATTCCCTGAACTCAAGAGTTAAGCTAAAAATTATGCGATTAATTCCTTGGTTTCTAATAGAAGTTCTAAAATGTATGGGGGAAAATACACGAACCGAAAAAATGCGGTAATAAGTGAGGTAATAATCTGATAGAATATTTGCATCCTCCTTTTAAAATATTAAAAAATATGTGTACACCACATGATTTCCTTGTACGGAATTCGACGCATTTTTTAGGAAATTAGACGCATTAGGAAATTAGAGGCATTTTTTAATGTATTTTATTTAAACTTATTGAATTGAATTAAATCTAATTCGTCGATAGCGCATAAACCACAACAAAAAAAAATGTGCTTAGAAGGTATTTCTCCCGCCTTCTTGGCGAACCTTCAAGGTGTGGTGGTCTGCACGCTCAGGGCGTAATCGAGAGGTCCACGGTTCAATTTCCGGCGAAGGCGTTGCTAATTTTTCATCTTGACTGCTTCCGAAAAATACCTCATGTCTCTACAGTGGCGCCCGAACTAAAAGGGTATTGGATGATGACTCTCCTCACCCAGGATTTGGCGATTGGGTCTCCTTAAAACCTCAGTCGCCTTTTAAAAGGGAGGAGTATATAAGGTATTTTTCCAGCCTTCTTGGTGGTGTGGTGGTCTGCACGTTCAGCGCGTAATTGAAAGGTCCGCGGTTCGATTCCCGGCGAAGGCGTTGCTAATTTTTCATCTTGCCTGCTTCCAAAAAATACCTAATGCCTCTACACGCTTTTTAAAGTTCACTATATTTATTTACCATAGCAATACTCTGGCGCTAGGTTCACTTAACAGTATTACATCTCATTCATTTTATAACTCAGAATAAGAAAAAAAAATCTGAAGAATTATGTGACTGTTGCCCCATGTTCTATTCAAATACTATAATAAATCTAAAACGACGTATAAAAAATTAAAAATAAAATTAAACAGTTTTTCATAGACGATTCATCACTGCTTACCTAATACGCATGCGCTACTCATAAACATTCTGCTTTGTTCGAAACAGATTGGCGACAATATTTTCTGCTAATATGAAATACTTATTTCCTCGAATTTCATTAGAGATGTATTTCTCATTCAATTAATTCATTTCTCACTTCACGGCAAGGCAAAAATAATAAAAAAACAAAATATCTTTATTAAAAATTTAAAGATATAAACATAAAACATAAAACACCAAATACAGTTAAAAAATTAGAAACACATTTTTTTACTAATAAAATTACTGTTTCTACGCAAAAACAAGCAATTCGGCCAGCTGGCAAGAAGACAGATTTTTCGGTGCACAAAACTGAGAGTTTACTTTTGGTACCACTCGGCAAAAAGACACTGAAGGTTTAGAAACTGATCTAATTTGTTGTGAACGATATGCTGAGTCAATATATGGGATAACTCAAATGATAATTCCAGAATGAATTAAGCATAATTTTATTCGCAATAATAAAAGAAGACGTTATTTTGTTGTTGCGAAGCTTAGTTTCTCTAGATTGGCAACAAATCCACAATTCTGCTAAGTTTCAAATGTAAACAAACATGGCTGCTATGGTAAAAAAAAATAGGCTTAGCCGCACTTAAAGAGCTTTTAAATTGTTGATAATTATACAACTATAACAGGTAGGTTAACTAAAGGCATAAAAACCTTAACCGGAAGAGAACAACGTAATTCAATCATTTTTAAGACAAAAAATGCACAATTTAAAAACATATAAGAATAAAGAAACTGAGCTGACTGAGCCGAGTAATAGAGTGGATATATATATATGTATATACTTTTGGTGGGGCCGATTGCAATCAAAAAGGGAGGTGCACATCTACATGTTATAGCAATCCCACATAGAAAATTTCAACGTTGTGAGAATATTCGTTGAGTTATGCGAGATATATACATACATACGTACGTATGTACTGACGCCACGGAAAACTCTCTTCTAAATCCATTTTAAAGCAGTTTTATGATTCGTTTGGGGAAAAAGAATCCCTTATTCTATACTTACATGCAGATGTCGTACATTACGTACAGAACGCAGAAACATCCTTAAATTGCATTCGATAGCGTTCAAAATGGATATATTCGTTGAAATATGATACCCGAAATTTTTCGTGATTACAATACTTCCTTTTTACTTCGTACAAGATAGTTAAAATAGTATGCAAAAAAAATCAAAATTCTTTGATCATCAAATCAAAACAGTGCCCCCAGTACAAATTCCCAATTTTGTCATGATGCTGATAATGGGAGTAAACAAAAAATGAACTTGTAATTTATACAAAATGGTAATTTAAGAAGAAGTCTGTTTTTAAAGGGGTTATCAACGAAACTTTGTTATCCACCGATTAAACAATTTTCTTGATTAATATAGTTTGCTGGGAATGTTTAAAAATATAAAAAATCACATCTTATAGGCATTTATTTTTATATATTAGTGCATATTTTCTTTTAGATTATCTAAAACTCTTTGTGAAAATTTCATAAGAATGAAAGTACTGGTCAATGAATTGGAAGACATAAATTACATAATGAAAATCTAATGTTTTTGAGAGACAGTATTTTATGAGCGTATACCTGTTCTTGAAAGTATATTATATAGAATTTTACTACTAAATATGAAACTTTTCCCTAAAATGAAACTGGTTTCTTTACAGTGGTTTTTAAATAAAACAAGAAATTCGATCGAGAGATAAACGCAACAATGTAAAATTTAAAATTAGGCAAATGAAACAAGTTTAGCGTGGATTTAACTGAAATTCATTTCAAATAAGTAATAAAATAAATAAAGAAACTCAAAGTACACTCAATAACTTTACTCAAAATCTGCAGAAAACTCTAACTGCCTTTTTTGCCTAGTTTTAAGTATGAATAAATACATAAAAATAAAATTAAAAAAATTTCTCTTCTCCCCCCCTTTTTTTTCTCTGCTTGCTAAAAATTTCACCTTCAATTGTGTGATACTAACACATTTATGTAATCTTTCAGTTATTTTCATTGATTAGAAATCAGTTTAAATGCAGCTGTCGATTTAGATTTGCTGGGAATATTCCCACGTTTCGAACATTTAAAAACTCGTCTTTGAAAGTTACGTTTAACATCCAACATGAAGACATTAGTCGTAATAGCTTTTCTTGTTCTCATCGTTGCCCTGGTGAGTGTGGATTCTTTGCTATTCAATTTTGTATTGGTCTGCATACTCAATAACTTATAAATTCGAAAATAATTTATTGCAACAAAAACAACAACAACAACAAAAAAAAAAAAAAAAAAAAAGTCTTTTGTTTTATAATGTAATTAAAAAATTAATATTTTATCTGCCATTTGATGATTTCTAGCAGGATTTTACACAACGTAAACATAGGTACAATTTAATAAGATTATGTTTATTAAATTTAATGCATTATGAATAGCATATTAGTATTATTATTAAGAATTAATCTTATAGTTCCTGCTTGAAAAATTCATTTTTCAAAATTTCTTTATTATATCTATCTGAGAAATTTTATAAGCAAAGATGATAATATGCGAATTACTTATATCAACTCGTACGGTCAAATTTCTAGTTTTGGAATATTTCAGCAAGTTAAACGAATTTGCGACTAAAATTTGAAATGAACATTTCATTCTTTGAAATTTTGGGTTACAGGCGAAAATATCGCTGAAAAATCATCGTGGACGAAAATGTCGCTGATACAGCAACGAAGATGAAAACGTCGCCGTACCAAACATCTTGGGAGAAATAAAATAAGACTAAAACATTGCAATTCTAAAACATCGTCGTTGAAAATAAAGCGGTTAAAAACTTTAAAGTTTAAAAACATCGCCTTCGAAAATATCCTAGTAAAAAATAAAGCGCCTACAAATCTTTGCAGACATAACTTTTTCAGGCTTTAAAAACTGTAAGTGCCTATTCGTATAATGACTTCTGAGAGCAAGATGGAAACTGGAATACATTCATATTTTTGAATTAACTAATACATTTTTGCTGAAACATTAAGAAGGAAATTTGAGCATTCAAAGACTGAAAATGATAGAAAATTAATGCTACTTATATCATTTAACAAAATTTTATGATTTGATAATTAATTGAGTAATTTTAATAGAGGTAACCACTAGCAGTTTCTCCTCTTCCTTTTTCTAAACTATTTTATAAAATATTTTTCATGATAAATTACCAATAAAACTTTATAAAAAAGATTAAGTAATAAATGACTTTTATTGGCTAACTGTATAAGTTAAAAATTCTGTTAACTACTCTACCTAGCATTATTTTTCTACTCATTTTCAGTTTTTGAATACTTAAATTTCTTGCTTATTTTTTCAGCAAAAATTTATTAGTTAATTCAAAAATATGAAACATAAAACTAAAAATATTTCTTACTCCTTTATGAGCTCACGAATATTTATGCGAATATGCGACTTTTTGAAGCCTGAAAACGCATGTCTGCGATATTATTGTCATGCGATGATTTGTAGGTGCTTTATATTGTTGCGTGCGTACGGGTTCGTTATGAAATAAATGCACAAGTCCGATGAAAAATGAATAAAAATTTATTATTATTACAACAAAAATGCTTAAATTTTCTCAAATTATCATGCAGTATTACAATATCTCACAGTAGTTATCTTTTAACTACTCAAATGTACAATAGAACGTAATTCAAAACAGCTAAAGAACGCTAATCCACGAATTCGCTACAATCAACAAGAGCAGTTTTCTAAACAACAACAAACTAAGCAACAACCACAAACTGAGATGTTTTCCTCCTTTTATAAGATTTTAAAATCACGCGCTAGAATTTTCCAGTACTTTCTCGAAATCAAAAAGAGATATTTATTTATTTAATGCACGCGCTCTTGTATTTTCAATTTTCCGGCTTAGCTTTCTTTTAATATTCGTCACGCGCTGCACTGCGCGAGAAATAAAACCATTTAATTTATAATTGAACTAACATTAGCTTTTTAAATACCAAATTCGTAACACTGCCCCCTTCCCAAGGACTGCACGTCCCGGGCAGTACAATCCCTGGACAGGAAGCTAAACTTACAACTGTGGCATAAATGCAACTGAGGCATAAACATTACATTACAATATCAAACAACATAAACAATAATGCAATAACTAACTTAAACAAATCAAATGCTATCAAATACTTACCCACTTTCTACCATTTATCGCGTATCACCAGTTATCACGTAATACTAAATCACAAATCAAATACTAAACACAATCAAATCAAATACACATTTAAAACAATAAAGGACCATGGTCTTGATACTATTTACAATTATTTTCATTACGTACTATGGCCATAGTAATGAGCTAAACTGTCGTAATGAACGACTTTAGGATTTAGAGTTCGAAGACTTACGGAATCCGAACCACGACGTCATTCAGGTGTTCAGGCACTGTATATGGACCATCCGAAGGTGACTGTAATTTAGGACTCAGTCCTTTTCGTCGTGAATCGGGTTCCACAACCACACCTTGTACCTCCTTTGTTGGATCTATGTGCTAGTAGCTCGCTGTGTCGTATCGGGTCTTCATCTTTCTCCGTCGCCAAGTTGACTCGCTTTCGTGCAGGACGGTGCATCCCCTCAAAACGGGCCTGGTACATCTTGGATGTGTTCCTCAGGCGATGAAGGCGCATCCGGGTATGGCGACCAAACAAGGCGGTCACAAGGCAGACGAAGGTCTCGACCGAAGAGCTTCTGAGAGGGAGAATAGCTGGTAGTCTAATGCGTTTCTTTTCGACCCTAGTATGATGTTCGGCGGCTTTCCTGAGCTGGGTCTTTCGGACAAGGCGTCGGGCATTTCCAGGTGAGGATCCCTTCTGAGGATGGATAGTTCATGTCACCAGATGCTGAAAGCAGTTTGTTGTTTTTGAAAGTCTAAGGAAAAATTGTATTTCCTTAAAAAGTCCAATCCGAGTATGCAATGGATCTGTAATATCCGCCACATTATGCCGTGTGATGGTAGGCGGCACTTCCAAACGTGATGTTTCACGTTTAACTTTCCCAGCTATCTCGATCTTGTCACCAGACGCAGTCTGAAGGGTAACACAGGATGGCGTCCAAATAAGTTTATCTTTAAACTGTTTCAGCTAAATCTTTCCTAATGATGGTAACATTAGCTCCTGTGTCAATGATCATATCGCAAGGAACTCCATCGATATTCCCATTAATGGACATTCCGTTACTGTTGCCACTCACTGTATAAATTTTAAGCGCTTTAAAACAAGGTTTTTTCATTATTTGACAACCTCCGTTCCTCGATATGGTCACTAATTAGTTTACTGCGTCGTTGCTGGGAAATGGTCTTATTTTCCGTACCTCGGGATGTTATGCAATTTCTTCGTATGTGGCCTTCAACTCCGCAGTTCCAGCATTTTAGAATTAGTTTCTTTTCACTTATGTTCCGTCTCAAGCCACTGACTTGTCTGGTAAAATCATCTAAACGAGCCATCAGTTGATTCACTGGCTCATGGACTCGCACAGCTCTAACTGGGTAGCGATCTCTATTAGTTGCTTGCTGGGCTGCCTCGAACTTCATGGCGTACAACAGAGCGCTTTTTATGTCCTTTACATCTGCCATTCGAAGAGCTTTCTGTATTTCAGGATCCCGGATGCCGTCGATGAAATATTGCAGCGACAGGATTTCTCTTGTTTCTGTCGGGCACTCCGAAAAGGCGAGGTGGGACAGCCTTTCAACATCCGTGGCGAGCTCCTGAAGTTTTCGATAGGCTTCTGTTGACGAGATTTTAATTGGAGCCTGCTGTAGTCTTTTAAACACTTCTCCCCAAAGCGCAACTCCAAGGCGCCGGACAGAGCTTCGAAGTCTAAGTCTTTTGGTTTTCTGGAAGCGTCTGCAGGATATCCGCTGCGTCGGCTCTTAGAGAAGCGGCGAGATGACAGGCCTTTAGCTTGGGAATCCCATCCATTCGCATCCGCCACGATAGAAAATTGTGTCTTATACACCTGCCAGGAGGTCTTCCCATCATATGTGGATAGTTTCAGAGGTGGACGAGCAGGCATCGGATAAAGAATTTAAAATCTAATCATCACTCCTGCTCCCTGCCGACGCTACGAATCTTCTTTAAAGTATCCAACGTCTTTGGCAACTGCAGAAACTCTCTCATCAATTTGTTGTTCGATTTGGTGTTGGACGGCACAAAGTCTTCCTTCAATTCGTTCCTTTACAGCAGAAACTCTCTCCTTCTATATGTTCTTTTACAGAAGAAACTCTTTTTCTATTTCTTCTTTCACCGAAGAAAACTCTTTCTTCAATATGATCTTTTACGGAAGAAACTTTTTCTTCAATTTGTCCAACTTTATTTTCAACCTGCGTCAATTCTGCCTTCCATAGCTTCAAATTTATTTTCTATTATGCAAGTAATTTCTCTTTTCATATCTTCTTGACCAGCTTGAACGGCTTTCATTTCGTCCTTAACGGATTCCTGGCCCAATTTCATTTCTTCCTTAAACGGATTCCTGGCCCAATTTCATTTCTTCTTTAATTTCTTCTTTAAATGAGGCAAAGGCTGATATTAACTGCCTTAATTGCTCTTCCATCGCTCTTGTTATTGGCATTCAAATCCCACTTCTGGCACCAAAAATTGTTGCGTGCGTACGGGTTCGTTATGAAATGAATGCACAAGTCCGATGAAAAATGAATAAAAATTTATTATTATTACAACAAAAATGCTTAAATTTTCTCAAATTATCATGCAGTATTACAATATCTCACAGTAGTTATCTTTTAACTACTCAAATGTACAATAGAACGTAATTCAAAACAGCTAAAGAACGCTAATCCACGAATTCGCTACAATCAACAACAGCAGTTTTTCTAAACAACAACAAACTAAGCAACAACCACAAACTGAGATGTTTTCCTCCTTTTATAAGATTTTAAAATCACGCGCTAGAATTTTCCAGTACTTTCTCGAAATCAAAAAGAGATATTTATTTATTTAATGCACGCGCTCTTGTATTTTCAATTTTCCGGCTTAGCTTTCTTTTAATATTCGTCACGCGCTGCACTGCGCGAGAAATAAAACCATTTAATTTATAATTGAACTAACATTAGCTTTTTAAATACCAAATTCGTAACAATATTTAACCACGATATTTTTGACTGTGATGATTTTAAATTGCGAAGGTTTTGAACTGCATTATTTTCTGTACCGTGCTGTTTTAGAACTGCGATGTTTTCTTTTCTTCCAAGCAACGTTTTCGCCTTGCCTTGTTTTCTCCTCGACGTTTTCGGTGGAAATCCGCATTTTATTTTGAAATTTTGCTTATTTTTCGAATGCAGCTCCTTTCCATGCAAAGATAAATTATTATGTATTTCATTAATAAGTAAACCAATTTGCCTGTAAAACTGAAAAACTCCTTTCAACATAGTAATTCTAGAACACAGGTTGCCCACGTTACCCTTCCTTTCTTCTATACACCGGGCTTACGTTACAGGTTTTATAGAAATATCATGCAGATATATAAATACATTAGAAGGATTAATTTCATTTTTAAGCGTATAATGAGGACTCTAAAAATACAGAAAAATGTATGAATTATATTCTTAAAGAATACTTTTATTTTAATGTTGTGGGGTATTTTCTCCTCCTTACACATGCCTTCGTGGTGTAATTGAAAAATTACATCCGGATAACAATCGAGAAGTCTGGAATTCGAATCCCGGTGAGGACACTGCACATTTTTCGCGTTTTCCTGTTTCGATAAATCTAATCACTCGAAAGGGGCTCCTGAACTAAAATGTAGCGGAAGATAATTAGTCAATACCAGGATTTCGTGATTGGGTTTTGTTTCCTGCTCTTCAGTCACTTTTTTAGTGGGACGGAATATAAGGGACGGAATATATTCCTTAACGCGCACCTCCGTGGTGTAATTCGAAGTACGCTGGGCTAATAGGCAGGAGGTCCGGAGTTCGTCCGGAGTTCGAGGACGTTCTACATTTTTAAGTCTCCTGTTTCGATGAGTATAATGACTCTAGAATTAAATAAACTATACTCAATTACTTCTAATGCTTTTTTAATTTGAAACATTATTATGCTTCATTATTATATTTTTTGTTATAAGACGTTTTAAATTTTAATATTGCTTAGGACGAAAATTAAAAATTCAGCTATGAATCTACAATAGTACCAATGCTTTCAAATTTCAAAATTTAATTCAGAAAGTATACTGTTTCGGTCGAACGGTATATTCTGTTTCATAGCAATATCATGTATGCATATAAAGAGTAATAGACAAAATTTTGGATGGCGAAATATAATGAGGTATTATGTTATCTAAAATATTGAATACTGAATAGTTTTGAAGTAATAGTTTTTCAAGTTCAGCTTATCCTTCTCATATTGCCTTTTTCTTCTAATGTGAGTGTTATAACATTGTTTACTTCCAGTAAACGAAGTTTATGAACTGCGATGGGAATAAAATACATTTTGCTGTTTCAACAGTTTCTTGGATGAAGCATAGAATTTAAGACGATCTTAAGAAATAAAAACAGAATTTTGGGTAAAAAATATGTACCTCGGGGGAGGGCTTGATTTAATATACTTTTATTCAAAGGATTTAATTATTCGAACTCAGCAACAAAGATTACAAGATAGGGATTATGTGTTTAAAGACCATTACTGCATTATAATTTACTAAGGAAAATTTTCATAATTATCAATTTCAGGTGAAAGGTGCAAATCTTCTGTTTCTTATTATAGTGAGCAAGAAAGTACGCTTAAGAATTTAAGAAACTTTAAGTATTTCATAATTGCCGATGTTTATATCGGGCTGAAAATTCGTGCAGTTTACGAAGGATTTTAATGTCGTAACAGGATTATTTGAAAATTAAACATTTATTTAAGTAATGTTTTCTAATAACGTTAAATATGATGAAAAATTTAATTTAATTTATCTATTATTTTAATAAAGGTGGCAGGGGATGAAGTTAAAAAATGTGATGTTCAATCTGACTGCGCAGCAGATGAATGTTGTTTGAAGCTTCACAAGTTTTCCGCAGCAAAATGCAAGAAACGAAGACAGGAAGGTAAGTCTTAATCATTATACTAGAGAATTCTTTTAATCTGCTTGGTATTTGATTGAGCGCCGGCAAAGACAATGTGCTATGAGTGTAAAAGAATGCGTAACTGTATTTCTTTTGTTTCATGTTTCCTCTACAGCTCGCGATTAACAAAATAGTAATTAAAGTATTATATAAAATTAATTTTATTAAGTAAAAAATTGACATTTCTTCATTTTTTGGAGCAATATTAAGAACTTTTATTTTCTAGTCTGCAGTACATATCCATTTTCGGTTGAATATATTATCCTTCACATAGGTGAAGTAAACTTGGTGATGTTGGTTAAGTGATCATTTTCTAGAAATTTCACATAAATGATTATATACTTCAGTTTTTAGTTGCATTTGTTGTAATTTGAAACATAAATGTTATTTAAATAATACTCGCTATAAGGGAATTTCTCTATTTATGAAACTTCTTCTGCGGAATGACTTTAGAAGGAAATTTCCAATGTAATCTGCTGAAGTAAACAATTAAAAAAATGCGTGAAACAGCACACAATTTGCAAGAAGCACCTCTAAGACTGAAGGAACTTATGACTACACAATTAGTTTATGGGAAGTTTACTTCGAAAGTCATTCATACTGCATCATGATGGAAAAAACGAAACGAAGAGAAGTAATAAGGCAGAATAAAATATTTTTCTTTTCCTGAAGAAAATAGTTTTTAATAGAATACGAATGCTTACAGAAAGTAGAAGATATATATACGGAAACTTCATTTTCCCTACACGCATGCTTAAATCTGTCTGCATCAAGAAAATAAATAAAAAATATGTGTTTATGTTCACCTCTTTGTGGAATGGGCTGGAAATCAAAACTCTACGTAATAAATATCATAAATATTTTACTTTTGTTCCAACGTTACAAACTGGAAACACAACACACTTATTACATCTTTAGAACAAAATTATAAATAAAAATAATAATCGCGTGTTGCCACATCTCTGAAACAAAATCACAGAAAACTTCATTTATTTAGAAGTAGAAATAAATTATTTTTAGCTTTTTACGAATATCAGGAGCGTGCTCTTTCGGCGAGCAATGGATGGCGTAACAACATTTAATGGATGATAAAAACGCCAAGAAGCTGCAAAGCCAACTTTGTTACAGTCATTTTTTCCAAGTTTACCTGCAAGACAATTTATCTGAATTTGGTGATCAGCGTAGCTCAGTAATCTAAATATATGAATTCTCTTCCTGACAAGGCTCAATGAATTTTTCAAGTCATTCCAGTTTATAGTTCTTAATGTCTGAATTTCATAAATTTAACGGACTTAGATCTGGGGATTTTGTGACCACAGTCTTCTACAGATAATGCGATCGTTGAAGAAACTATTACAACTGAAAGTATTGCAACTATTTAAAACATTCACGAGGCTTATAGTTTTTATGAAACAAATGTGAAAACAGACGTATGTTCTTATTTATACACTTATGGGCAAAACTTCAGTCACTTTTCTGAGTGTGGCCGTAATTCTACAAAACATCAACTGGCAGATATGAAATGCATACTGCAGAAGCACTAGGTAGTGTTTGAAGGATGAGAAAAGTTGAGCAGCAAAAAAAGTGAATAGGTACTGAAGGAATAGAAAAGGACTTTATTGACAGAATGGCATTGCTACAAAAACTGTTTAACCAAGAGAGACAACAACAAACCAAAAAGCCTTTGTAAGGGCTATGACCTCCCCTAACTGCAATGGTTGCGTTGCATCGTCTGTCGGTATTAAACACCAGATTAAAAACTTTAAGAGTTTTTTCAATCTGATTCAGTTGTCCGATGTTCTTCGGAGGATATGACCTTGCCGTCAGGCGTCTTTTTAAATTATCCCCTACATGTTCAATGGAATTTAAATCAGGGGATCACATTGGCCAATTCCTTGTCTGGATATCTTTACTTTCCAGGATATCCTCAACAGCATGAGTCCAAGACCATGCGTTGTTATCCAATAATACAAAATCAGGATCAATGATTCCCCGGAATAAACGCATATATGGGAGGATAACGTCATCAGAGTAACGATCTCCGGTACGTAAACCTCTGTCGAAAATGTGGAGCTCCGCCATCGTAATGCCTCTCTATACAAGCACGCCAGGATTACCACAACGGTCATTTTCCCTAATGTTAGTGCGATGAAAGCGCGTCCATACCTCTTTCCATTGCTCTAAAAGTCCAACTTGCTCTAAAAGTCTTTTTCAGACTGAAATGGTCTTATCAGTAAAGGGGATGTGACTCCATTGATGAGGTATCCAATCTGTGTTCTCTACACCACTGTAAACGGTGCGTGCTGTCAAAGGTATGCAGCCTTCACGACGGCGGGAATAGGATATTTTTGCGAAGTCATCTGGCCTCGACACCTGTCATTTGGCTGCCGTGCGAAACTACTGAGCAGTGCTGCCCGCTGTCTGATTTCGATATCTTTTCACTTGCAGGGGAATACATCGGTCACCAGTCACGGTTGATTTCCTTGGCCGACTAATATCAAACTTTCTTACAGCTGTCCTGTCGCTTGAAAGATTTTCCAAGCTCGTAAAATAACTCTTTTATCAAATCCAAACTCTTCGGCGACACTACATACCTCTACAAACTTGCCAATAATTCTACCAAATGTGAAAGGCGTCCTGATGTTTACTTATAGCCATACTGTGCACGTACAATTTCACTTTCACGCGCAGAAGAATGCCTGAAAATGCACCTTCTTTTCTTCTTTTTAAGTTGCCTTGCACTGCGAGCGCTGACTCCTACCGTTTTGCGTATTCTGACGTAATTTCTGACGTCAAGGTACCGGTATTTGGATATGCATTACTTTTCTAATGAGCTGGCTTTTCATTCTGCTGATCGCAAAAAGCGATTTTGAATTATTTCATGGTTGTATGTTAAAAATCGAATTTATTGTTTAAATTTTACACACTATTGTAAATTTCTAGATTAAAGTTAGGTAACAGATTGAGTCAAAAGGTTATTACTTGCAAGCAGATAATACGATCTACCACATTTCTAAAATATTTCTAATAATTGTAACCGGCTTGTTAGAAAGGCAATTATATTTATAAGACTGTGAAAGACTCGAGTTTATGGGAGGCGTGCCTAATCCAGCAACAGAAAAGTACCAGCATCTGTTCAGCAGTTACTCTTATCCGTCGTTGCGTATTGTGCGCATCGCGCGGCAATTCCCATGAGTCCCAAATTATCCATGGAACTAATAACAGTTGTACTGAGCTTATTGAGATATTTGTAAATACGAGGCGCCGGGTTGCCTACAAGAAGAAGGTTCTATTTCCGCATTTCCTGTGATTCAATACTCTGGCTATTTCTCAAGATAGTAGTACATAGTGTGTTTTTGCCATCACCTGCGTTTACGTACTTATACATTTAAAAAGAATAATTCAGGACCTATGAAAACATCTGTATTATTTTAGGTTAGTTCGCACCACAAACAGAATACTGATGACTTATAATTAGTGGCATTGCTCAAGATTTAAGTCTATTTACAAGTTTCTTTCTAATCTATCATTCTTGACTTCTAGAACTGCACAAATATTAAACCCTAATTCGAATCTTTCAAATATAGATTAAGACTCTAATATTCCCAAGCTTACATATTTCAGTTAAGCTTAAAATATGCTTCTGCACAGACTGAGAAACAGTCCTCGTGGCATGCTAAATGAAACTTACATTCATAGTATTATCTTGTGCATCATAAAATGCAATTAATAAAATCTGTGATAGTAAGAGTTTTAAAATTCCTTCATTTAGCGAATATGAAAGTTGCAGGAATTATTTATAAGAGCGGACCATCCTATCAATAAATGCAATGTTGAGTTTATTACAAAATGGTGCATCACATAAGCATTTACTGTTCGGTTTTTCTAATTTAGCAGGGAAGTTCTTAGTGTAAGAAATCGGTATATATATTTTTTTAAATTGGTGTTATGAAGTTAACCGCGAAATCCCTTTGTAGTTTTTTACAACATTACGAAACTTTTGAAAGACTTTAAGCATAACACATTAAAAAATATCAAATCTTGAACGGCAGGAAATTTTTATCGGTTATCAATACTTTTCTAATATTGATAACCGATAAAAGTAATTTGATAATTTCCTAGGAGGAGAGAGGCAGTGCACATTTTATCCTATTTCATGTCTGATAAAAGGTACTGTTGTATGTATTTTGATGTTGCGGAGAAAAATGATTAGGTTCACCTTTAATTGGATGATAGTTACATTATCAGTACTTTAAAAAACAAATGTCTAGATTCGTAGGATATTTAAATGCCAGTAACTTAAAATCTGCTTGTGGCTGAATATTGTTTCTATAATCCATAAAAATATCCAACAAGTTAATGCGCATTTTTCGAAAACTCTCCGTCTAAATCTAGATCTGGGTGACTAGGTGATTTGGACGATGTGCAATTGTTAGTGAATTTGTATGTAATAGTTTGCATTTCTTCTGATTGTTTGAGTTACAAATCCGAAGTGGAAGCAATAACTTTGTATTTTTAAATAAAATATTGGAAGCAGCAATCGCTTTGAAGTAGGTCTTCAAAAGGTGCAGTTTTTTTTATAAAAATAGGGGTTTCCATGGCGTTGTCCAAAAGATTCTACAATTTTGTAAGATCCTAACCAAAAAGAGTTACTTGCGAGTCGTTTCGTAGTATTTAGTAAAGTAGGTGCAGTAGTAAGTTGATATAAAGTATAGTTTATGTATTTCTTTTCAAATCCAATGCTACGCGTAAATTATGTAATGAAAGAAAAATAATTCGCATATTGCCTTGGATACAAGCTTAAAGTTAATATTTCAGTATTTAATATATAATGTTTTTAATAGTTTGATTTTTAATGGAATTCTTCATTTTACCCCGCGAAGCCCCAGATTTTTTGGAGTACTGCTTGGACAAAGCTGCTTTAAATAATGCATATGTATCTATTTAATAAAAGTATATTTATAAAGTCTGAATATTTTAAATAGGTCAGTTCTGTTTCTTGGATGACAGAATGCATGAAGAAAAATATTACAAACATCTCTGCCCATGCGTAGAAGGCCTGGAATGTAAGAAGCAGGATAAGGTAAATATTTCTCATATAAATAATTTAATTGTTTGATACTATACTTCAGATAATACTATACTTCAGAATTGCGAGAATCAAAGTAAGTAAAACGTCTTTAACAATCGATAAAAAAAAAAAAAAAAAAAAAAAAAAAAACCTTTTCACTCTTTCATACTTAGTAAAATACACCAGAGAAAAAAAAAAAAAAAAAAAAAAAAAAGGGGGGGGGGAGACGGAGACTGACGATTTTAAACAGATCCAAATGAAATAAATGATTGAAATGAATGCTTTGAAAGAAATGACAAGAATTAAAAAATTTTGGTACATATAATTCAAGTTCTGATATGCAATAGTTTATCATAAGAAAGGGAAAAAAAAACTTTTTTTTAAAGTAGAAATACACTCTTTTGCAAAAAATCGAAGCACCGTGAAGGAAGTGGTTGTTTTTGATGAAATCGAACATTTGTATAGCTTATACAGAGATCAAAAGATGATTAAAATATCAAGGTAATAGTACCTGTTCTAGGCTCACAATCACCCATTGAGTGTTCAAATTAGTAGTTGGTCGAACCGATGGTGGCAATGCATGCTTGAATTCGTCGATGCAAGGAGTCGTAGAGGTTCCTAATATTATCCTGCGATACATTCTGAAAGGTATTCATTGTTATCGCTCCAGATCTGCGATATTTTGCTTTGCCCAAATCTGGCGGCCAACCATACCCCAGACATGTTGAATTGGTGAAAGGTCGGGTGACTTTGCTGGCTAAGGAGTAGTATCAACCGCACGGAGACAGTCCAGAGATATGCAAGCGGTATGTGGCCTGGCATTTATCTTGTTGAAAAATGGCTCCAAGATGACGTGCCATGAAGGGTGATGGAACCGGCCGCAGGATGGTATCATTATATTGTTGAACTGTTAACGATGTATGGAGGATGACTAAAAATGACCTGCTGTCATAAGAAATAGCGCCCTACACCATCACACCAGGGGTTATGGCTGTATGTCTTTGTAAAACAAAGGCTGGTTGGGACCGCTGGCCCAGTCCTCTCCAGATGCGAACACTGTGATCATCTGCTTCAAGAGTGAAGCGGGATTCGTCGCTGAACACTATACGATGCCAATCTGATGGCAGCCATAAAGATCTGCTGCGACACCATTCCAAACGACTCCGCCGATGTTGTGAAGTCAAAGGCAAACGTCTTAAAGGCCTCTGTGAGCGTAACCCCGCCTCAGACAAGCGCCGTGAGATGGTGGACGGTACCACGGGAGGTACAGACGTGGCTGTAGTGCCTTGAATAATCGGCAATGATACCGTTTGAGCGGTTCGGATCTGGCGAACAATCATCCTATCTTGCCTCGCATTTGTGATCCTTGGCCTTCCAAAGCCTTCATTTCGTCGGCAATTTCCTTGTAGCAACAATTGCTGCCAATATTTTTGCACAACAGTGTCCGTGCGCTGGAGGTGGCGGCTTATTACTCGGTATAACCACCCAGCTTCTCGCAAACCGTACAATGCGACCACGTTTGAAATCGTTTAGTTGTCTGTAAGGTTTTCGATATTCTCGTAATGGCATCTATAGTTGCTTCTTTACGGAATCACAATGGCAGCAACAAAAAAAGATAAATTTTCCGCCTCTGAATATTTGAACAAATTGAATATTTTTGAAAGAACTGATTAAAAATTTCTATCAAATCATCAAGAGCAGCTATTAAATTAATTAAAATAACATTTTTGCGCAATTAGAATATGCAGTTTTGATTCTGAAAACTTGTTTATACTTGTAAAACAAAAAATAATAAAACATAACTTTAATAAACCGTTTCTCCAAAACTTTTGTTTATGTTCTTAATCTAATTCTTAACTATAAGTTATTTTTGTACAAGTATTCGTTTTATGCTTATGCTTTGTACTGTATATTTAAGAGAAAAATGTAGAGGATTAATGAAGAAAATCATTCATTTAAAGTGTATCGATGCAGAGGAACTGTTGAGAGTCCTTGCTCTATAGTATTATGGTGTAGCTCACTAGAGTGTATTCTATTTTATAAACAGAAGTTGCGTAGATTGTATCTGAAAACTGTAATAAAATATCATTTTTTTCTTATTGCAGGGCCATGCAAAGTGTAGCTAGATGAAAATATTCTGCTGAGGACACTGAAGAATGTTCTGCTTTTGTCCTTAACAAAAGATTAATAACATCATAACTGATGATAATTTTAATATTTAAGAGTAAAAATTGTATCAAATAAATTAATTTGAAACTTAGAATTGTCTTTTTACATTTTTTATGGTCACAAGAGTATTTATTCAGTTTAAAAAAATTCTGTAAGACTTAAGTTTCATGATATATATATATAACATTTAAAGATATTTGTAACTTGAAATCAAAAAAGTATCTCTTCAAAGTCTTCATTCTCTTTAAACTGTATAATACATGTCTTTGCGTCACAAATAAGATTTCTAGAGATATAGCGTGATTCAAATTCTGTGAAATCCAAACAGATTTTACGGTTAGAGACTGATACTTACCAAAGAAAAATGAATTTTTATATGAAAATGTTTTCTTTTGTAATAAATTTAATTAATTAAAAATTCTTCATTGCTTGAAAGAATTTGATCAATATGAAAACCGCTTTTGGGCTAAAATGTTTAGTACAAATATAATTTCAAAATTCTTTTAATTATATAAAGGTGAGTTCCAAAACGTTGGGCACTTTCAAGCTCCACTTTATAAGCGGAAGCGCCAAAACATCGGGCATTTTATAGCTTTTCTTATCAGCTTGCAAATAGTCGAACGGCGGACGGATTATGGAATATTTACGAGTTGTAGAACTGATGCCAGAATCTGGCTGTAGGACTCACTGAATAATTTAAAACAATCTGATCTCCGGAAGATTATAAATGACAGAAGGAGGAGATACATTCTGTCCAAAGTAGCAAATTCTGCTAGAATTTTCATAGGTAGAAGGAATGCAAAGGAGCCTTCTTATTAGAATAGCCTTTTTTTCTGCAGATAAAAATATTCCCTTTACATTACCTGCCATCTCTACAAACAAAGTTGAGCAATTATTAACTTTTATTAACAGTTAGTTTCTGGTTTAATTCTATCCTGTTCTCAAAGGCTCTGCCATTTTGTATCGCACTGCTGTTGCCTTGCCAGTTTGTATCACTTATAGTAAAGGTGAAGGAGCTGCCGAGTGGTATTGGTATGCTCAGTAAGTTTTTAAAAAGTTAGGTATCTGTTTCGACCATAAGTATTTGTAGGTTGAGTCTAAGCTACTGTTATTGTAAATTATCGAAATTTTAGCATCAAGGCAAGTAACTTATTTTTACAAGTTCTGTAAGAGAAAAGCTTGTTTTTTTTATTTTTCTATCACTTTAAGTTTCCAAAAAATATTTGAGAATAAAAGCGTTCCGGAAAATACACTACGGATATCCTCAAGTTGGGAAATGACGAAGTCCTTAAGATATCTTAGGATGAATACCTTTAAGACATCATCGCATATCCTTGAACATAGTGATATAAACACATAGGATGATAATGACAGTATCCTTAGGATATCTGAGAATCAAGATACTCATGATATCCTAAGTAAACTCCTTGACGTTCTAATTTAAACAAGACATTCTCAGGATATTTTGTGCTATGGAGGTCGTAACACCAATCAAGGTGGAGGTAATTTTACGTTTTCGGTACTAGTAATATCAACCAAAAACTACTTTAAAGAATATTTTGTGCTTTCTGTTAATATTGCATTTATTTCTGTCATTAAATTCTAAAATGGTAACTGTCTTTTTCACAATTTTTTATTAATCATTCCGTTTTAGAAAGGTTTCTCTTAATCCTTGGGTCATAAAATCAGTATGATGTTTCTCGGTAAGAAATAAACTGTTACATCTTTCATCACAGTAATTTTAAAAGTTGAACAATGATTCACAAACAGCATAATCAATCTTTGCATTTATTCATTGTAAAACTAAATCATATCAGCCATTTGATGTCACCCAAGTATGCATATTGGATTATCCAACTCTCTCTTTCGGCGAGAAAATCAACGCTGTACAAACCTTTATTGCATTGCATACAATCTGGTAGTTATCAGCTCATACAGCTATCAGTGTTAATACTCCGGCATCAAAAAACGCTCCTCATTTGGGAAACACCTACGGAACTTGTTATTGGCACGTGAAGTACAGGCGCCGTATGTCCAGGTTGAACGAATCATTGTTTTCAACATTTTCGAGATCCAGGAAATAGATGTATCTACCTCCATGGGCAAGTTCTTGTGTGTAAGATAATACAATAGACTATGGATGCATTCTGCCAGCAACATATTAGGCAAATTGCTGAATACTTTGTAAAAAGGTTTAGGTTTAGTTTGGTTTATTTAATTACGGTAAAGCACACTAGGGCTTTCTGCCTAAGGGGAGGGATGCCTTCGTGGAGGACTTTCTAAGGGAAACTGGCTCGTATACACGTTACACATGGGGAAAACCACGAAATCGCCCATGCAGCCAGCCCGTTCGCGGGATGCTTTGTTAAAGGAGGAGATGTGTACTGAAGGACGAATGTAGTAACTGGAATTCTGTGACGTGACTACGTACATAGAGCTCTTGTAAGCTATATGCACCAGCTTATGATTGCTACATTGTTCGGGAATGGCAATTTATGTTATCAGACTATTACAATCCCCATATTGTACGGATGAGGCAGACTTAGTTTATAAACATTACATTGAATTCCAGATTGTATTTCACTCCTGGCCTCCGATTTCAGATCTTGCAGTGGCCTCACACCGAGCTCCATATACTGTAGATTTACCTCTTATTCAACACGAATAAGAGCGTCAAAAAAGACTCATATTTACATTCAGCAACCAGGACTGCTCTATGGATTAACTGCACAAGGTACATGTTTTGATATATCACCAAATCTCAAGACTCAATGCCATATCGACTAGCCATAGTTATTCGGCTTCATCGCAGCAGGTCAAGAGACAATGAAATTAAAATTTAATCTCGGATATTTTAAATAGTTATTTACAAAACTAAATTTGCCTTATATGATGATATAAGTAGAATTAGTGATAATATAAGCAGAATTGGTAAATAAATTTCCCAAGGTTACACGCATTAAATGCGTATATATAATTTACACGTATTAAAGTTTTCATGGATATAGTTTACACGTATTAAATTTGAAAATTTTTTTCCTTTCGAAATCGAATTTATGACGAACTGATTTATGGGGTTTCATTCCTCATCAGTGCTCCGTAACATTTTTAATTTACGTTAAATATTAAAATTAATTTTTGATCTCCCTTTACGGAACCAATTGTCTTAAAATTAAATGCATGTATGTATTCGAAAAGGTAATATATGCATATGGATTTTTTCAAAATTATATATTGATATTTTTCATTCCGTGCTGAATTTTTCTCACATATCCTTGATGATGTCGAAAGTAACCTTTTCAAAATTTTGATCCTTTCACTACTAGACCTTTGAAAAAGGAACTTCTGAAATAAAAATTTTTTGTGTATAATTTGAAAAACAATAAAAACAAATTAAAATTTTTAGTCAAAAATTCGATTTGCAATTTTTAGCGGCTCCAGATTTTATTTTATTTTCAGTGAAATAGGACCAAGAATGTTATGATAGCTAAAATTATCTTCTTTAGTTTTAATGCAATTAGTCAAAACTCTCAAACACAGAATGGATTTTTTAATATTTCATCCCTATATAAAACAAAGTACGACGATTTTATTTTCCTTGAATATCTTCTACACTCATGTCCATAAATTAAGGATAATGCAAAATCAGGCAAAGGAAGAGTTAGAAGCAAAACAAATTTGAATGACTTTATTAAATACAATTTTTAAACAAAAAAAAAAAAAAAAAGAAAAAAAAAAAAAAAAAAAAAAAAAAAAAAAAAAAAAAAAAAAAAAAAAAAAAAAAAAAAAACAAAAAAAAAAGAAAAAAAAAAAAAAAAAAAAGAAAAAAAAAAAAAAAAAACAAAAAAAAAAAAAAAATAAAAAAAAAAAAAACAAAAAAAAAAAACAAAAAAAAAAAAAAAAAAAAAAAAAAAAAAAAAAAAAAAAAAAAACAAAAAAAAAAAAAAAAAAAAAAAAAAAAAACAAAAAAAAAAAAAAAAAAAAAAATAAAAAAAAAAAACAAAAAAAAAAAAAAAAAAAAAAAAAAAAAAAAAAAAAAAAAAAAAAAAAAAAAAATTAAAAAAAAAAAAAAAAAAAAAAAAAAAAAAAAAAAAAAAAAAACAAAAAAAAAAAAAAAAAATAAAAAAAAAAAAAAAAAAAAAAAAAAAAAAAAAAAAAAAAAAAAAAAAAAAAAAAAAAAAAAAAAAAAAAAAAAAAAAATTAAAAAAAAAAAAAAAAAAAAAAAAAAAAAAAAAAAAAAAAAAAAAAAAAAAAAAAAAAAAGAAAAAAAAAAAAAAAAAAAAAAAAAAAAAAAAAAAAAAAAAAAAAAAAAAGAAAAAAAAAAAAAAAAAAAAAAATAAAAAAAAAAGAAAAAAAAAAAAAAAAAAAAAAAAAAAAAAAAAAAAACAAAAAAAAAAAAAAAAAAAAAAAAAAAAAAAAAAAAAAAAAAAAAAAAAAAAAAAAAAAAAAAAAAAAAAACAAAAAAAAAAAAAGAAAAAAAAAAAAAAAAAAAAAAAAAAAAAAAACAAAAAAAAAAAAAAAAAAAAAAAAAAAAAAAAAAAAAAAAAAAAAAAAAAAAAAAAAAAAAACAAAAAAAAAAAAAAAAAAAAAAAAAAAAAAAAAAAAACAAAAAAAAAAAAAAAAAAAAAAAAAAAAAAAGATGCTATATGTTTGATATTATTAAAAAAATAGCGATTTTTTCTCCCTGGAGCAAATTACAAAAAAAACCTATTTACAAAAACCAATATTACATGGTTGGTATGATTATTAATACACTGTATATCTCTCAGACGATGCAATACAGTCTGTACAACGCCTAGGCATGCTGAGTATCAAATTATCGATCTCATCTTGGAGGATATTACACCACTCACAAAGCAATGCTCTCCGAAGTTCCGGTAGACATGTAGGAGGAGGTTGACGGGTTGCAACTCGTCGGCCAAGCATATCCCACACGTGCTCTACTGGATTCAAGTCCGGTGAGAATGCTGGCCAGTCCATACGGGGGATATCCTCCGATTGAAGGCATTCGCTTACGATGTTTGCACGGTGAGGACGGGTGTTGTCATCCATAAACACAAATTGTGCGCCCATGGCGCCCCGAAACAAACGTAC